ATTCTATTGATTTCACCCAAGCATGGATCCCAGGTGCTTTTGATTATGGTTACAATCCTCCCTAGGCATAACTTCAAGTTCCCTTTGATCGTTGTTATGGTCCCCCCAAACATAGTTTTGAAATCTTTATACTAATAATCTATTAATCAGGCAAATAATAATCTATTAATCAAGCAGATATGTGCAGGTGGATATGCAAGTACCTACAAGTTCACGTTGCTCTACTAAACATAATATTCATCTCTGTCACCTATTAATCAGGCAGATACATGCAGGTGGATAATATCTATCTTTGTCACTAAGTTTGTTTTTAACTACCATGATTCTCTCTACTAAGTATAATATTCATCTCTGTTACTGAGGTCTACCTTGACTACCACAATTCCAAACATTTTACTCTATGCTATCAACAGTAGGGTTGGACTCGATGATCTTTGAGGTCTCTTCCAACCCGGTTGATTCTATGATTCCATGAAATAGTGTGTAAGGTGGAATGGCTTTCCTCATCTTAGGAGGAAAAAAAAAAAGGGTGTGAGTTGGTTTTTTTTTGGGTTGTGTTGTATTTTTCTTGCTCTGCTGGATGGGCCATTCTTTAGAAGCTTCCACTTGCAATCAAGGGGTTAATTGTTTGGAGATTTGTGTGTAACTCTAAGGATGTGTTGAAATAGTTCACATAAAACCAGCAACGTGTGATAATATTTATCCCTTGTTAAAGCTCCATGGTTTTTAGTGGGACTTGAGCTCTTAAGCCCTTTTGACACTTGAAAAAAAATATGGTACCAGATGTCCATGATCAGCAAATAGACACGAATTAAGGGCATGAGTTGTGCTCTCTGTCCAAGTGGGTAAATGCATTTATTTGTCCACGTGAGTGGTGCCAACAGGGAATGCACCCGGCATCAACTGCCAGAGAAGGATGGATGGATAACCAGCCTGGAATCAGGGAGGGATTGACAACTGATAGGTTCAGAAAGGTTAATGCAGGAATACAGTATCCATAAAAAAATGGTAAAAGCCCACGAAACAGAAAACACCTAATTTAAAACTGTAATTCCTCAAATAGCCTTGTTTGTAAGATGGGATTTTACTGAGTTATACTGAGACCACAGTCTCGTACTCCTGTTATTGAATATAATTAAATACAACAAATTAGAACTCCTCGCAAAACACCTTTGGTATATCTCACAGTAAAATGAATGATAAATTGCTTGCACATGTCTTCATGCCCGAAGTTTACAAAAGCTCAGAGCAATTACAGTGATTGAAAATTAAATTTTGCCTCATATTTGAGATAGGCTTGTATGTATGTGTAAATAGCCTGTAGGTTGGCTCACAGCCTCTAACAGAGCTGGAGTGTTTAATTTGAATTTCTTTAACGTTATAATGAAGTAATAGTTCATTCCTGACAAGACCTACGTGTGTGCTCCCATTTATGCACAGCTCCATTGGAACCAATGGAGTATAAGCACATAATGTATTAGTGGGACTGTCCATTGCACATTTGTTTTTTAAAGAGATGGTAAATTATAAAAGGCATAGTTGAAATATCTGAGTCCCATCAGCCTTGTTGTTAATGAAATTTAACCCAGCTGCTGCCTGACTCTTCTGTACAGCTTGTTTTCTGCATGTAGCCTGCACATATGTGCAGTTTCTTGGTGACATAATTACCCTTCTGAAGAACACCTAAAAGTGAAGACCTACCACTAGCAGGTTGCTAAAAGGTGGTGTTTTGTGTAAAAGAAAATGAAAAGAGGCTTATGAAAGAAGAAATGAGCAGTTAGATAATAGAATCTGAAGTCTCTCATACGTGATTTGAAATTGTCTTGGGGTTTTTTTTCCCACACTCTCCCCACTCAAGGGCTCTCTCCAGCAGAGCTGTGCTGCTGTGTTCTGTGTGCTGTCCATGACAAAGTTTGGGATTGCTGATGTCCACCCTCCGGATTAACCTTTCAGTGCTGTAGATTTCTCCCACTTCTCCTTTTACAGAAGAACATGTGAAGAGACAGGATGGAAATGCCTCCCTGAAACAGAGCCAATGTGGCTTTGCCCAGTTTGCAAACCCCTGTGTTGTGCCCCTCTGTAACACAGGCAGAGGTGAGGGATGCCTGCCTGGTGTTTCCTCTGAGCTTTGCTTCCATCACTTCTGCTGGGGGGTGGACCAACCTCTGTGAGAGCTGAAGGGAAATTGTTAGCTGTTCCTGCCAGGAACCCCGTTGCTCCCAGCATGGCACTAATGAGGGAAGTGCCTTTGGAGATTCTGCTTCAGAACTTGGAAGTAAATACAAGTTTGATAAAAACACAGGTGCGCTATCATCAGCGAATTATCATAAATTACCAACATGAGCAGTGCTCAGAGTGAGCACCTGTAGTTATTTAAAATGAATATATAAACTTGTCATTTAAATAACTGCAGATTCCTGTTTAAACAATAGCGATCCATCCACCGTGTGTCTCCAAAGCTCTAGCAACAAGCTTAAAGAGGTGAGAGTCTAAGAGGAGGCAGGGGCTCATTGTTTCCAGAACAAATAAACTGCAAGGATGTTACTCATTAAGGTACAAATAAATTTGGGAGCAGGAGGCTGCAGTAGTTGTGAGTCCTGGTCCCAGCAGTGCCCGTGATCGAGCCCCTGTTATCCCTCAGTGCCAGAGCAGTGCTTCCTCTGCTAGGAAATGAAGAGCATCAGAAAGCAGCAGCCTGTCGTGGTTTTCCTCTTTCAACTTCCACTGCTGGATGATTTTCCACAGTGGATGCAGCCTGTCCTCACCAGGAGTCAGGGCCAGGCACTGGCAGCTGTTTGTGCAGAAGGGCTGCACGTGTGGGGTCTGCAGTGACCCTCTTGGGAGTTGAGAGCTCCTAGTTCGTGTGCCCCAAGATAAGTTCCTGTATTCTTGTGTACATATGTCCATTTGGATTTTTGCTTTGTCCGGGTCACAGAACCCTCCTGGTTCCCAAAATACTCAAGAGTTCATCCTGTGCGTGTTTTCTGTGCTGCACAAATGTGTGAAATGTAACAGGAGGATCTGCATATCCAGAGTGAGGTCAATTCCAGTGTTTTTGTGGCCCTTCAGTGGATGTGTCAGGAAACTCTCCTGGATATGTGTGAACAGACCAAGACAAACACATTGACATTTTGTTAATGGAAGGAACTGTTAAAATGTCAATGAAAATGTCACAAATAGATTCCCATTGTGACCACTTGAAGTAAATTCAGGGCCATTTAATGAAATTTTATTCCACTATCAAAGGCAAACACACACACAACTCTTTAAAGAACTTTTGAGACAACTCAGAGCAAATGTTGCTCATGGATGTGGCAAAGAGGAAATCAGGATAAAGCAGCAGCTGCTTAAAGGTGCTCACTGTTCATTTGGTCTTGAGGAGGATGGGATAAAACTGAATGGGATTTGTTCTGTTCAGATATTTAAATGACAGCTGGGTGTCTTGGAGAATGAAATATGTGGCACCAGGGTATGTGCCCTGGCCACGCTGTGAGTGTTCCAGTAGTGTCCTTTCCCACATGTGTTAATACACCTAGGGAGAAACGTTTGTTCTTGGTTTGCACAGTGTGCCAGAACTCCTAACAACACAGGTTCTGTGAATACCTGTCTGCTTGCTATGCAAATGCCTCTCAATGTAAGACACTGTCCATGAACTTTGAACTAATTAGTTTTACAATGGATGTGCTTTACAAGGGGCTTTGGAGAGCTTGTTTTACAAATTCGAGCTTGCTTTGGAAAGGTTCTTGCAGAGCCACTGGTGACTAATTACTTTTGATCATTCTTAATCCATACTCTGTTTGAACAAGTAGCTATGCTATAATGGGGCCATAGCCCAGAGGAGTCCTGTGTAACTTTTCAGGTGAAATGCACATGGTTTTACTTATAAATGCTCAGAGAGTCAGACTCAGGAGACTGATGATGGGTAAGGTTTCACCTCTCAGCCAGTAGTTTGCTGTGGAGGTGATGGTTCTTAGAATGATCTTCCTCCCCTTTTTCTTTCAAGTGGCAGCACTGCTGTGTACCAGAGGTGATTCCTCTTGCTAGTCTGCCTGTGCAGCCTTTTCTTTCCTTTTCTTCCACCAATACATATCCACTCATTGCCATTGAATCTGTGCTCACTGTTTGCAAGGAACTGCCTGTTGCTGTAGTCCAGACTATAGGTTTCCATATGTATATATGAAAACATTTTTAAAATCAGGCTAATCTTTTGATAGCCTGAAAACTGCCAGTAAATCCTTGAAGTTTGCTTCCTGAGGTCCATTATGTTGAATTTACAGCATCTCTCTTCTGCCTTTCCTTTAAAAGCTGCTTGCACGACTCGAGGGCAGAAGTTCTCTGAAGAATCTTGAACCTTATCTGTTTGCTGAGGAAGGATCTCCTGTTCATGGTAAAAATGTGTCTTTATCCCATTTGTGGAAAAATATTGATGTAAAAATTGTCTCAGAGCACTATGACAGAGATAAGCATACAAGTAGATTGTTTTGCCCAGGATCAGAATTTTAATCGTTGAGATAGTTCTATTCAAACTAAGTAAAACAAAATAATGCAGTCACCATCCTGAACATTATTAAATGGATTTAAAATCTGACTTAATGGGTATCAAAACACAGGTGTAGGTGAGTCAATACCAAGCACATTGTCTGTCATTAAACCTTTTTGTTTCTTTTAATCAGTGGTCTAAAGAACCACCACAAAGGCATAACTGCAGAAATCTGCAAAGAACTTGAGATGCCCTAAACAGCAAAGAGTTGAGGGGTATGGAGTGGTCTGGGTAAGTCAGGATAAGGGGAACAAGCAAACAGTACTTTTTAATAAAGCCAAGTCATCAAGCCATTCAGTCTTGGCCTGGAAAATCCCAATGATGCTTAGATGGGACTTTGGAAACAATTCCATTATGAACATAGGTACTAATCAGCTGAATGAGTTCATGGACAATGTTAGGATCAGTGTCACTCAGAGAGACCTTAAGTGGACACACAAAAATTTCAAATTGGAGGAATCAGGCAACTCCCAATGACACGAATAAAACAAGTTTAAGGGAGATCATTCTAGCAGGAAGTTTTAAGATCAAGATTGGATGTTTTAATGAAAGAAATTACTGAGCTAAATAGAAATTAACACACTATTCAGGAACTCAGCCTGGTTTTCCAGATTGTGTGAAATCTTATGGGTATCACAGCTGAAGAGACAACTCTGATTACACAAAACAAAATATATAGGAAAAGAAGGTGTATGAATGGCAAACTCTAAGGATCATGCAGTGAGGTACCACGTACATTCATGCATGTATGAATGGTTGGATTTCATGTGAAAACCGTGTGGCTGCAGTGGTTATCAGCATACTTGTGTGCACTTTGAATTCCCACAAACATTGAAGGTTCAGAAGCAATAGCAGAAAGAGCAAAGAAACCAATCAGGATAATTGGATGAGAGATGAAGCTTAGTGTATAAACAGAGTCGCTGTGAGACTGTTCATGTGTTGTTCTGCAGCACTGGAGAATTTGTATGGGGTTTAGCAGCATACCAGTCCTGCCCTGAAAGTTTCAAATATGATATAACAAAGGTAAAGGGCAGAGAAATACTGATAAGCCACTGCAAGTGGAGCACAGGAGAATATTTAAGTACTCTGAATTCTGAACTGCTTTGTTACCCACAGGAAAAAATAAGAACCAGTAGTGAAGTTGGTATGAGCTTCACAAGGCTCTCAAATTCTCAGGTTTTTTTAAAGATGAGGTATTTATGATTTGAAAAAATGCAGTAATAGGAAATGCTGATCTTTTAGTCTGGGGTTTGATTTTATTTCTTTCAATCAACTTTACATACATGGAACAAATATTTAAGACTAAACTGGCCATGTTCTGGTCAGGCAAGCTCCAAGAAGCCTTCTCAGGGGTCAGTAGTTGCCCTTGCTGCAGCCCACAGCATTACACAGTTGCATGTCACGTTATCTGCTTTGCACTTAAAGCTGTGTAGGTTGTTCCTGTCTGTCCAAAGACTGCTCCACAGTGTCAGTTCTAAGATGGCTGGAGACCTTCTAAAATTCATCACTGTTTTCTCTGTGCCAGCACAGTCATTGAGCTTTTGAAGCACTTGTGTTTTCCTTCAGTTTTGAACAAATGGCATCACTTATTACCCACATTGCTCATGCGTTTTGGCTGACGTTAATGAAGCTGCCTAACGGCTCAGGTCTTCAGCTGTATACACATAAATGGACTTCACCTGTTATTGCATTTTTCCTTTGTGATGCCACAGTGTTCATGTGAGCCCCTGTGTTATTTTGATGTGTGTTCTCATTATTCAGCCTTAAATCCCTGTTGAAGACCTACCTCTCCATTTGTCAGGAACTTGGCTTTTAGTAGGTCACTGTGGAATACTGTAATGCATTGCCCGTGAAGTCTGTACTGAACAGCTCCCAATCTAAAATACTGTGATTAAAGCAATGCAAAGGCCTAAATTTTGTTTCTCCTGTTGGTATTTAAAATAAACACGTATGAAGTTGCAGTAAACTATCCAAGGGTTACATTGTGGTTAAGTGTTCGTAGGTTGTATGTCGGAGTACTATAAAATAGGTACAGGTAATATGGGTAGTGCTGTGACATTCTAGCTACTGCTTCTAATTATGATGGACTTGCATATTTAAGAACACATAAACATATTAATTACATACCATTTAGGCTGTTCTGGAATGGAGCAGAAGTGACACAAGCCTTAAATAATCTTCCACTATTGCTGGTCATATTTCCCCTGTGCCACGGGTACAAAGATGTGGGTGTCAGTATAAAGCTCTGATGTTCAGCAGTAGCCTGACACCCAACATTAACTTGGAATAAATATTAGGCCTTTCTACTTCACTCACAAATGGTATAAATATGAGTGACAGCTTCTGCCCAGTAGTGTAAATTACCAGACCAGTAACTTCCAGGTACTGGATGATGCGAAACCCACAGAGTTACTTACTGCTGAGTATTCCAATAACCTGTTTGCAACTGCAGCGTGGGGAAACAGTTTAACAGCATTTGAGAATGTTGTGGTTACAGACAAAAATAAGGCTCTTCTCATTCAAAAGTTAATGCTACATTGTTGCCCAGAACTGAGCACAATGTTTCAGTTAAAAATACATTAGTGTTACACAAATATTGACATTGATGCAGTTTCTCCTGCATGCTGCTTCATAGTATTGGACTATTGTTCTCTTTAGTCTGCCCACAGTGGGCCAGTTCAAGCTGCCTTGAGCCAAGCAATGTGTTGGGTGATTCCTTAAAACCTACTGCTTGAAATTCTTCAGTGCTGAATTTCATATGAAATCACTCTGCTCATCCAGCTCCATCTGTTAAATCTCCACAAACTTAAGTCTTTATTAACCCAATTAGTTTGTCTTCTACATGTTTTGCCAAGCTAATGGAACATTCATCTACTGATATGTTTAATGTCTGCCAACACCAATTCTAATAGAAAAAATTCCCATTAACTTTCTTTCACGTTGAAGTGTCTGTTCCTACTCAATCTCTCAGCCTGTTCTCACCCTGTGGCAGTATCTTTTCACTAATCCTCCTTTCAAAGCTATTTTGACATTAATGGATGATGCTGGTACTGATCACTCAGTTTCTTCTGTGTCCTATTGTGAGGGTGTTAAAGGCTTCTTGAAACGTTGCTGGCCTCACTTCCTCCTCTGCAGTGTCATGGTTTGTCCTTTGTGATCCAGAGGGATGAATTTCCCCTCTTATCTTACTCTAACAGCTGGGTTGCTAATTCAATGAAACTCTGCATTTGTAGATGTTGCTATAAATGGCTTCTGTTTTGCACCAGTTCTTCTTGTGGGCAGCCTTGTCAGTAATCATGAAGGCACAGAACTCCCCAGTTTTCTTCAGTCCAAACTGTTACTCTTTTCAGAGTAACTCAGGTGCCTTGGTCAAACTACAACATGGCTCTGTACCTTGTTCAGCAATGCTGAACAAACTTTGAGGGGTGCTTAGCTGTCCTGCTGTAAACATTTATGAACCACCACCTCAAAAACTTCTGAGAATTATTCTGGTCATTCAACTGAGAAATTTTCCTTAGATAAGTTTATTCATTCTGCCAATATAAAAAGCTCACCCATTGTTATTCTGTAGCACACAGACATTTGATATCTGCAGATGGAAAAAGTGAAGCACTTGTTTCACAGAATAATGTTTTGAATCAAATGGGTCCCATTTTGAGCAGTCCTTAGTGCATGTTGGCCCTGTTTAGTTACTGGTCTGGGCTCAGAAATGCCATTCAGGGTGGTAGAAGTTCTGTGCTGAAGGCAGTAGCAGACAGGAGATGCAGTTTATTGCTTTACAAGAGCTGCTTTATGCAATTGTTCTAAAATACTTTACCAGATGAAATATGAGGGAATGACCTACCCAGCACATCTAGAAGGAGTTCTTCCAAGCTGGTATCTCACCATACCAGGGTGTGGGTATGTCACTGACACCTTGTGTGACAGCAGAGCAGCCACTGGCTGCAAGTGGCACAGTTGGGCATTGCAACCTCTGGACAGGAAGATACACTGAGGATTTATGTCCCAGGAAGTACAGCTGTCTTTCCTCTCAAAAGTGGGGGAGCCATTCAGAGCAGCTAGGTGAGGGTTTGGGAAGCAGTTAGGCTTTTTAGTAAATTTCAAAGTGTCAGAAATTCGTAGCAGTGGAATTGAGGCTGTGGAGCAGCAGGGATGTCATTGTGGAGAGCAGGCAGGGTGTCACTGAAATGGACAGACTTGTCACATCAGGTGTAAATTGCTTTTAACGCTTGCAAAGGGTGAAGTAAGAGCTTCATTTCTTCCCCACGACCCTCCATCCCTCATCCCAAGCTGCTTCTTGACTTTGTACACACTTGTGAACGAGGACATCCTCTGGAAGTTGAGTAGTGCCTTGAAAACCCTGTTAACTCAGACAGGCACAAACATGTTTAAGGAAAGTTGCAGTTAATTCTCTACTCCTGCATCCCCCTATGTAAAGCTGTTATGCCATTTGCACTTGCCAAGGACATGGAAAACTCTCACCTTCCTACAATTACAGTTGTGTGATTCTCCTTACTGCTTACATTTACCCTTCTGCCTAAAGTCCAAAATGTCATAAATAAACAATCCAGTCCCCGAAATTAGAAATTTATAAATAGCAACTAATAAATTAACTTTTTGAGAGATATAAGACATCAGCAGGCTTTGGATAAGACTTTAGAGTATCTTGCATTCACATCCAAAAAAATAACTGGTTTCTTTTTTTTTAATTAACATTTTACATTTGTATGACTTGTATTTTACTGAGCCACATGGGCCAGGCAATTGGGCTGAATCCATATATGAACAGAGGTCCTTTGCTTCAGACAGAGGTGTTGCCTGGAGTGCAAGAGGAATCTCTGAGTTCCCCTTGTCAAAAGAAGCAGTTTGATACTGTGATCACTCCAGAAGAATCTAAGTCCTAAATAACCTTACTGGTTCACCACTCACAGACTGCTGTAGGTATCTTGTGCCATGTGCAGGTACTGAACAAGCTTAGAGCAGACATGAAATGCTGAAGGACTGTATGTGCCAACATGATTTGGACCTCTAATGTCAACTTTTTTTTTGTTTCATTTTGCTAGTTCTCTGCTTTTTTTATGTATTTCTTAATTGTGTGTGCAGTGTAGATGGTCTCTTAGCCACTTTTGTGTAGCAGCTTCCTCTTCTGCCTTCATCTGCCTGAAATCCTGTTGCCAGCGTTTTACTTATATCAGTGATCCTGGCAGAGATTTTCAACCTTTGCTCCCAGTTGATTTTCTTCACTTGAGAGGCCATTCTTGAAAATTGAAATTTCTCTTGGTAGGTGGTAACCAGGATTTAAACAATTTTATGAATATCAGACTTTTTAAAATGCATTTCCAAATTTGTGGAACAGCGAGTTCAGTAAACACTGAAAACTGACTCTGAGCTGTACACACTCTTACCTGACAATGTGCTGCTTTGGTTTTGAACAGGAGATGTGATTGAATTCCATGGCCCAGAAGGGACAGGAAAAACAGAAATGCTTTATCACCTAGTGGCTCGCTGCATCATTCCAAAGTCAGGAGGAGGGCTGGAAGTAGAAGTCATGTTCATCGATACAGATTACCACTTTGATATGCTTCGCCTGGTTACCATCCTTGAGAACAGACTGGCACAGAGGACGGAAGATGTGATAAAGCAGTGCCTGGCAAGGCTCTTCCTTGTGAGCTGCAACAGCAGCACTCAGTTGCTCTTCACTCTCTACTCTTTGGAAAACCTGTTCTGCGCTCACCCCTCGCTCTGCGTGTTGCTGTTAGACAGCATATCAGCTTTTTATTGGATAGACAGAAGCAACGGAGGGGAGAGTCTTACCTTGCAGGAGATGAATCTGAAGAAATGTGCTAACTTCCTTGAAAAGCTTGTGAGACAGCACCACTTGGCTCTCTTTGCAACAACACAGACACTTATGCAAAAATCTGCAAACTCTGCAGAAAGCTTTTTCCCTTTAAAATGTCCACATGAAACTGATACAGACTACAGACCATATCTCTGTAAATCATGGCTACAAATGGTAACCCACAGGATATTTTTCTCTAAGCAGTGTAATTCTGGCAACAGCAAAGGTTTTACAGTTGTTTCTTGCCACCTCAAAAGGAACCAGGTAGTGAAACGTTCCTTTAGTGTTGAAGAATGTGGAGTTCAGTTTTAACATCAGTTTGTTTTGTAAACATTCAGCAAATCCTGCTGCTTAAGGCCTGATTGGGTCTAAGTAGTTTTTAGTACCTTTTAAACTAGCTGCTTGTTGCTGGATGATTAACAATTTTTGTCACCCTTTTCTTAAAGTTTAGTGAAGGGAATGGTAACGTTTTTGAATTACTGTAGATGTTCAGTCCAAATCAGAGAGGAATGTTGAAATTACCTGTTTGTGGTTAATCAAGAAAATGATAAGCAAAGACATAGTAAACTCCTAGTGTCCTTCAGTACTCTAACCTATGTGATGTGTGGCCAAGTGCACTGACTGAGTTTCTGGGCCTTGCTGCTTTGCACTCCTTCCCTCCCAAGCTCCAGGAGCAGGAGCCTGGTTGTCCATGGGAGAGGCTGCAAAGGAGCATTTGCTCTTCATAAACATTGGCCGTGGTTGATTCCCCATAGCCTTGGGCGTATGAGATGCATTCACAACTTAGCCTGAAGAAGAGGATTCATTTTCACAGCCTGTGGAATGGTGATAATCCTGACTGTGCTTCTCCAGGCTTGCAGGCTTTCTGTTTACATTAGCCTGTGCTCAGAGGAGCAGAGGTTGCAGGTTATCTGACCCTTACCTGGGCTTGAAGAATCCACAGCTATTGCAGAAGTAGAGGCCTGGTTTCCGAAACTGAGGGAAAACTAAAGGGTCTGGGTACCTGTGAGTTTGTGCCTCATGTAGCAAACAGTTCAGTCTTCAAAAATAATGAAGTGCAGGCTATGGGTTGTTTTGGGTGAGGAAAGTTGGCTTTTGTGTTTTGTTTTCTTTAAGATGATGCACAGGCTTTTTTTTCCCTGCCCTCCCTCATTATTCCTTCCCACTTCTTTCTCCTCCCCCTCCCTCTGTTAGACATCCAGGAATTCCATGCCTCTGGTCTTTACCAATATGTATTTGCCACATGTAGAACATTTGTGTGCAGGATTTGGCATGCAACATGTTGCAATTCTGGCAAAGAAGATTCCAAACTTATGGGAAATGCCCTACAGTTCTGGCAAAGCATACCATTTCTGAACCTAGAGTGCCCTTTGAAAGCTTCAAAGTGCTTTACAAGAAAGAAAATTGCACACAGTACATTATTTAAGACAAAAACTTATATTAGCTTACAAATTCAAATTACTCAAGGGGGAAATATTTCTCAGAGTGCTCTTCGTTCAGTCTTGTTGCACAGCACGTTTTATAGCTTAGATTGAACAGATTATTAACAAAAATGCATATGAAGAAGTATCTAGGACAGTATCTTTTTGAGGAAGATGCCTAAAAAAGTCTGTTGTGAGACACTGACCTTTGAAGTTTCTGAGTTCTGAGGACAGCTTTTCCAATCCAGCATGTTTGGATTCCCAGCTGTGTATAGCTCAGTCACCCTCTTGGGTTCCACCATGTCTGTTCACAATGAGTTCAGTTTAATTATTCCTTCTGTGGGAAAACTTCCCCTTGTTTTCCCCTCTCATTTTAAACCTTCCATCTGATCACTTCTTCATACCATCAGCTCTTTTACTGTGGCACGTGAGTGAACTCTGCCTTTTCCACATCTCCACAGAGCTGATGATTTTATGGACTGTCTCATTTGTGCTTTTTCTTCCATCAAAATAGGTATTTAATTCCAGGAATTGCATAAGTACACAAATGCAAAAAAACAACCATTCAGCCTAGACTGGACCCAAGTTAGAAGGTTTACCATGAGTAGACACTTCCATTAGGAATTATTGTAAAGGAGATGCTTGAATTTTTCTGTAAAAAGAGAATGGGAAGATTCAAGTAGAACTTGACAACTTTAAAATGTGGAAATTATAGGACTACATAATTTTACTAGAAAAAAAACCAACCACCCCCCTTTCTATTGGAGAGCACAGCTCCACTGATGATTAACTGCTTCATAAAATCATACTTGCTAAAAAATGTGTTTGAGTGAAAAAAACAATGGATATGTTCTGGCATTCCCATCAGGAAAAAAAAAAAGATTTTATATTATTCACAATGTAGTTTGTATTTTGCATTGTACTATAAAAGAAATGCCTAAATTGAAATGAAGCCAAAGTTCTGGTTGATCAAAAAGAGCACCTCAGGAAATTTTGAAATTTCCCAGTTTTAGTTTTGCTTTGAATGCAGACAGCTTTTTGTAGTTCTCTGCTGATTGCAATATTCATGCTCTGCACATTTGCTGTAGCTGTAGAGCAAGCCTAGAGTTCTGAGGTGCTGAGCATCTGCATACCCCTGGAATGCTGCAGGAGGGAAAGGCAGTGTGCAGTCTGGGAGTGCACTGACCTCCTCCTCTGCCAGAATTATGCCATTTGGAAAAATGAACCCTTAGGATACAAGTCTAAGAAAGATGCAGTGATAAAGAACCTGGGAAGCAGGAGTTTTGTTTGTTCCTTGACACACTGTGGGTATTAAAAATGGGTTTTACCCTTTTTTAAATGGAGAATTTTATCAAAACTTTGTAGAAATTGTAGTTAGTGGAGAATGGAGTTTGTCCTCGTGAGCCAGGAGCAGTGTGTTAGACAGCACTGCAGGTAGGATGTGCTATTAAATGCAGATTCTCCTCTTTCACCCAGACCTACATTCCTGCCCTGTCTCCAGCCCGGGCTCACCTGGAGTGCCCTGTGTTGCTGCAGCTCTGTCTCCCAGAGAAGAAGCACATTTTGGGGTAGTAGGTCTGTGCTGCTGGAAGTCAGCCCTGCAGAAGAGGATGGAATGCATGTATTCCAAAACTCTGATTTAGCCAGGTATTTCTCAGAAATGAAAACCCTTTCATGTCAGTGCCATGGCTCTTCAGCTCACTGTGGTATTATTAAGGCTTTTGTAGGCATAGGAACTTTTTACATTCCTTACAATTTTTGTTTGTTGCTTCATATGCAACATGGAATTAAAGCAGCAAGCAGGAAATAAAGAGGAACCAGTTCACCCTTTCCCCCATCCTTTTTATAATGAGAGCTTCTTAGCAAAACCAAATTAAGGTATTTTTCAGGTTTTATATTTCTTTTCAACTAAACTAATATTTTGGTGGACACCTGTAAAGAAAATGTTGGGGTTTATATTCAGTAAAAAGTTCTTTGTAGTCCTAGACATTTTACAGACCAAATAAAATACAAACAACACTTTGCTTGGTTTAAGTTTGTACTAGCACATAAAATTCAAGTTTCTTACGTAACTGATTCCAGCCACTTAATTTTCCCTGGAGTTTGGAAATGGCAGAAGATAAATGTTCTCCTGTGGAAACATACCTCCAGTTGTATTTTTCCTGGAGGGTAATGGACAAAGGCAGAATAAATACCATTTTGATGGCTGCTGGACTATGTCCTGAAGAGGAACATGACTTCTGTGGCTGCTCTAATAAAATGTCTCTTGAGCCTCTTTATTCGAATGTATTTTTGATATGCAAAGGGACAATGGGCAACATTATTTTGCAAGCAGCAAGACTTAGACCAAACTTAAGGCATAAGCCTTAAGGCAGCAAGCCTTATGCCCACCTCAGGAGAAAGCTGTGCTGTGCCACCAAACTTCAACTCCTCTGCAAAAGCTGCAGACAGTTGTAATGGTTCCAACAACTGCACAGTATCACAGGACCTGTGCTTTTCATAAAGAAGGGGAAACACTGGGAGGGGTTGGAAGGCTTTGGCAGTGATAAAAACTTTGACAGGGAAAGAAGCATCAGTACAATATATGTGCATGATCTTCTGGATGGAAAACTCTGATGCCCTACAGCAGTCTCTGAAATCAAAGGTGTGGCCATCCCGGGGCCAGAAGACAGCAGAGTATGACAAAAGAACCCGTGAACTACTCACTAACGTGTCTGGCATGGAAATGCTTTTAGAGAAAAAGTCGACCATAGTTGACCTGCAAGTTCTTTCCACCTGGGAAGATGAGCTCCACTATGTAGATGTTTTATAGCTTATTTATGATGAAAATATAAAACTCTGCTTCTGTGGACCCAGGAAGAATTAAAAATAAAAACAGACTTCTTTTTATATGTTGGGTTTTTTCCCTCTTCAGCTCTAGGCACCTTCCCAACAGTCAGCAATTAGCTCCAAAGCACTTCTAGAGCTTCTGTGGCAGCACCAAGCTTTACTGAAAGTGGTTAGTTTTCTCCTTTGCTGAGAGTTTATGTGCACATGTCTATTACCACCACAGACTAGACTCCCCAAATAGAGAAGACTGAACTCGTGTGACACATCAGTGTAGCTGGTAAATAGCTTTGGAGACTCAATTCCATTTGCAGTCAGGAGTAATGTCACATCGGAGTAGATGATTTTGAAGAAACATGGCTGTGTCTTTCCTTGGGAAAAGTTTGGCAGCCTTCCCTCTGCTTTCCCACTCTGCTTTGCATCCTGCCCTAACCAACTGGTCGGTGTACCTGTGTGGGCCTCAGTGCTCAAGGATAGCAATGACAAGATGTCACCTCCTTGCCAAATGCTGGTGAACAGCCATGCTCTGGCTCTTGGCACTCTGTTCTGCAGGAGTTGGCACAACCACTATAGTTGTTAATTTAAACCATTTGCCAGGCTTCTTTCTCATTCATCTCGCTGGGCCTGTGCTAAAGACCTCCTAGCCCTGGGGGGATGTGAAAGAGAAGAAGTTCTGAGTATAAGAAGGACAAGATTTTAGGCCATTGCTGCCAAAAGAGGCCAAGCAAGGCCATGTGGTTCCTGCAGTGACAGATGTCAAGGCCTCAAAGGTGGTTTGGTGAAGGTCAAGGAACAGACTCTACATCTCCCTACCAACTGTCCCTACTGTGAAGGGGTGAATAGGAGTTAGAGTATCTGCACACGCTCATACTGCTGAGAGAGACCATGCTATAGTGGGCAGTGCTGTCTCTGAAGCACATCTCAAAAGCTCTGCTCAAACTCCAGCAGTGACAGTTCTGTCTCCATCCCAGTATCTCGATGGACTCCCAGCCTCGTCCTCCAGCTGCTGCAGCACCCAGCAAATGTCATCACATTTGGACATGAGTGATACCATGGGCATTGGTA